AGTCCCATGTTGGCCAATAGCTCCTGGGATTTTGGGAGCTGAAGTCCCTTGGCCCTTAAAGGGGAAAGGTTGCCTATCCCTGGCATAGAGTAACACCTAATCTGCTTTCATGTACATGATCAGCCACATGCTTGCCTAGTGCAAGGAGTAAGATATAAAGGCCTTTTAAAAGATGTAATTGAACCTAGATGGATATGATTTTTTTAATGTGTTCAAGAATATGCTAACTCTGAAAGTCTTACACTGACCAAAAAGGAAGAGATTTTATATAGAACATAACCACTACAGTGATGTCTGATCCCCAAATTAGCTGGTTGATGATTATCACTCGTATAGGTTATATTCTATACAATAAAAGTTTATTTTTTCTGTTTCTAATTGGCCCCATCTACATCATGCAAGTATCATGCAAGCACACAGATAGATACAGACAGGAAAATAATGTTACTTACGACAACAACCAGTCTGTAGAAGTGCTAATGTCTTCCCACCTGGTGCTGCACAAAGATCAAGAACTAGGTCACCAGGTTGTACATTGAGAGCCAAGACAGGCAAGACTGATGCAGCATCAAGGAGATAATAACCCAGAATTCCTATCACATCTGGTCTACAAAGGAAGGAAATATATGAAGCTTCAGTACACAGTGGATGCAACAAGCTTGAATTCTAGAAGGACTTCCACTTAAAGCACACTGAGTGTATAGAAGAGCAATAGCTCAACAGCAGACCATACACTTTGTAAAAAGTTCCAGGTTCTATCCTTGGCATTTCCAGTTAGGGTAGAGAAAAACAAATGCTAGACAACTCCTGTCAGTCAGGATAAAAGATGAGTGTGATGGACCAAGCTTGAACTCCGTATGAGGCAGCTTCCAGTACCATTCTATATAAATTATTTGTACCAACTTGTTTGCATTTATTTTACATGTACACTGCCTTGAAATCTTTTGCTATGTGGGATAAAAATATTTCAAATAAATAAATAAATCTGTTGGGTGATGGCCCCACACAGTAACAACCACACATTGAATTCCCTCTTAAGGAAGAACCTGCTCTATTCATTTTTTAAAAGGACCTTGAAGTCTTTTCTTAATTTCTCCAAGATGTTTTAACTGATGTTTTACTGCTTTTTATTCTACTGCTATTAATCTATCATTTTTTTCCTGGTTACACACTGATCACTGGCCACTCTACATGGACAGATGGGAGTTAGCCTCAGACATTTGGAATTCAGAGAATTCTTCTGCCAAAGATGAAATGTTTTCAAGAAGCATATTAATTTACATATGACAAATGTTTAAAAGTACCTTCCCTCAATACACAGAAGCTACTCACATGGCTGGATGGAAAATGCTGATGTCTCCTTTGGGAAATGTGTAGCATTTGATGTTGGGACTGATGGAAGAAACAGGCTGCTCCTGTTGAGTGGAAAGTTCAGTCCTAGTTTCTGGAGAAGGGGCTGATTTACTGGCCTTGTCCTCACCTATGGAATCATGGTCTTGTACTACTTTTTTGGATTCCCAGATAAAATCCACTGCGTTCAAGTTTTCCAACTGCTGGGTTATCTGCAGTACATCAGAAAAATTGTTGACAAGAGCACCATATTTCTGCTCCGACAGGAGACTGATGCGAATCGAAGGCCAAAGACTGCCGAACTGCACCCCATAGTTCATGTCAAAGATCTGCAGAGCCAGCCTGGTGGAAGGTATCCGAGGAGCAGTGGTTGCCTGTACAAATATTAAACTATTAGTCATGTGAAAGATCTGAATTCCTCAGTGATGATACAACTGTACTAGGACTACTATGAAATTATGTATACAACACTCCCCCCCCCATCCATACACATAATTCTAGTATACTAGGAAGTGTGAATGAATACCACAGTTGTGAAACTCTGTTCAGTGGCATAATATTTCTTACTCAGTCAGCAGCCTACCGAGAGCCAGTGTGTTGTAGTGGTTTGACGACTGTGGAGATCAGGGTTCGAATTCCCACTCGGACAGAGAAACCCACTAGGTGATCTTGGGCAAGTCACATTCTCAGCCTCAGAGAAGGCAAACCTCCTCTGAAAAAATCTTGCCAAGAAAATCCTGTGCTAGGGTCACCTGAAAGTTGCCATGAATTACAAATGACTTGAAGGCCAACAACAGCACCCTAACAATCACAATCCAGATGAGAAAGCCCCTGTGATCAACTCCCTGCCTTTAGAATGGTGCCAGATGAAAACATATTTCCTATGAATAGTTTACTTTATGGCTAGCAAAAGACATAGAAGGGGACATATGAAGCACTGCATTCAACATCGAGAATGCCCACGAAATCAGTTGTGGAGTTTGGTGTAGTGGTTAAACAGTTGTGGTCATGGAGTGTGGTATAGTGGTTAAAAATTTTGTCCTGGGAGATCTAGGTTCAAAACTGTACTCTTTCATGAAGCTTGCTGGATGACTGTAAGGCAGCCACTAGCTCCTAGTGTAACTTACTTCACGGGATTATTGTCAGGATAAAACTGGGTGGTGAGAGGACCACGTACAGAATATTAAGATAGAAATGTTAACATAATAAATTAGAATAACATGCTTTATTTTGCAGCAATTCTAGTGAAAGTGGTTGTATGCCTATGTGACAGATACCTTCTCCCAGGTTGGCCTTGCAGTTCCAAACCTCTAAGGAAGCCTGCCATTTTCACCTTGCCCTATGCTCCCCCTTAAAATCCCTGCTTGGATTCTGCAGGGATTACTGGATTGACCTCCCTGTGGACTAGTGTGTGTGTAGCTTTGTGCTCTTTATGGCAATTGTCACCCACCTTTGATTCAGGGTAAAAAAAGACTGTTTTGAGTCAGACTTAACAAAATAACAAGTGAATTAATGTGGCTTGTTATATCCTGTAAAGTAGTAAATGTTTTAACAAGTTGTAGTATTTAGTCTGAAGATATACAAAGAGCACTAAAGTTAGAATCATCCAATTCCAAACCATTGTGTTCCCCTTCACCATGTATGGATGTGAGAGCTGGACACAGAAGAAAGCAGACAGAAAGAAATTCGACTCATTTGTGATGTGGTGCTGGATAAGATTGCTGCTGAGGATATTGTGGACGGCCAAAAAGACAAACAAATTGATCCTTGAATAATAATAATAATAATAAACAATAAAATTTATTTATACCCCTTTCCTCTGAGCTCAATCGTGGTGGCTCACAAGTAATAAAAGTACAAAATACATTCAAACCCCTATACCCTCCCCCCCTTAAAAAAGTATTAAACCAACAAAGATTAAAACCAAATAGATTAAAACCAACAAAGATCAGTAACAATGCATCAGAGGGAGAGACGACGGTCACAGTTGACTAAGAAGCAATAGGAAAGCTCCTGGAGGGCTCCCCTAAAAGGGGTTTCTGAGGCCGGGATCTCTATCCTGGAAAGGCCTGCCGGAAGAGATCCATCTTAACAGCTTTTTTAAAGCTGTCTAAAGATGTAAGCAGACGGATCTCATCTGGCAGGCCATTCCATAATCTGGGGGTGACCATAGAAAATGCCCTAGATCAGGGGTAGGCAACCTAAGGCCTGGGGGCTGGACCGGCCCCAGGCCAGTCCTGCTGCTGCCGCCGCCGCCACTGCCGCCCGCCATTATGATATTGATTATTGTTGTTATTACTTGTTCTTGGGGGGTTTTTTTGGCAAAATCTCCACAGGGGTTTTGCCATGGCTTTTCTGGGGCTCAGAGAGTGTGCATGCATATAATTTTTTAATTTTTTATTTTTTTAAAAAAAATATATTTATTTATTTATGGTGCTTCGGCCCCCCAATTATCTGAGGGACAGCAATGTGGCCCCCGGTTCAAAAAGGTTGCCTATCCCTGCCCTAAATCAAGCCTGAACTCTCCCTAGAAGCCAACATGATGAAACTGTCATACTTTGGCCATGTCAAGAGGAAGGCATGACTCGTTAGAAAAGACAATGATGCTGGGGAAGGTAAAGGGCAGTAGAAAGAGGAAGACTGTCATGCCCAGCCAGCTGGAGGACTCGGAGGAGGCTGAGCCAGAGCCTCAAATGGGACCTGTGTCCGAAGCTGCAGTGGAGCCTGACCCTAAGCCTGGCCCTAGTGTGTGCCAGCTCCAGCAGTCTGTGGCCTCCCAAGAGGCTCAGCAGCCAAGCCTCCTGGTAGCAGAGCCTTCAGGCATGAAGGACACAGTACCTACCTTCAGCCAGCATTGAGCAGAAAGGGAGGACCTCCAGCATTCAAAGGGCCTTTGCAGACTGCCAGAAATAGTGCACATTAAATTGAGGCACTACCCTGGCTCAGTGCTAGGGAGTCATGGGAATTGTATTTTTTCCTGAGACATTGAGCCTTCTCTGCCAGAGAGCTCTGGTGCTACAATAAATTACAATTCCCATGATTCCCTAGCACTGAGCCAGGGCAGTGCCTCAGTTTAATGTGCACTATTTCTGGCAGTCTGCAAAGACCCAAAGAGACCTTATGAGAAACCTCTCATCCATCCAGCTTTCAAGGTGAGCAGAAATACTTATGCCTGCTGGAATTGTGTAACTTCTTTGGCATTGCTTACTTTTGCATCATCCTTTTAGATCTTTCACTATGGGCCTTTGCAAACTGCTAGAAATAGTGCAAATTGAGTCCACTTTAAGGGTTAGGGAATCATGGGAACTGTATTTTATTGTGGCAACAGAGCTCTCTGACAGAGAAGGCTCAATGTCCCAGAAAAAAAATACAATTCCCATGATTCCCTAGCACTAACCCTAACCCTTAAAGTGGACTCAATCTGCACTATTTCTGGCAGTCTGCAAAGGCCCTTATATGCTCCTAAATTTACCCTTGACTTATCCATGGGTCATATCAAAAACCATAATTTTGGCCCCCAAATCTGCTCTCGACTTATAGGTCAATGTATAGTCCAGTATATATGGTAAATTCCAAAAAGTAAACCTTGATTTTGACATTTTATACAAGGAACACCATTGTACTGTGCCACAGAATTTAATGAGACTTGAGCCAATGTGGTCTAGTGGTTTTTTGAGCGTTTGACTACGACTCTGGAGACCAGGGTTCAAATCCCAGCACAGCCTTCGAAGCCCACTGGGGTGACCTTAGGCAAGTCACACTCTCTCAGCCTCAGGGGAAGGCAAAGGCAAACCCCCTCTGAAGGAACTTGCCAAGAAAATCCCATAAAAGTCGCCATGTCAGAAACTACTTGAAGACATACAACACTTAAAGAGGGTGGTGGAGAAGTCATGGTGACCAGACACCCTCCTTTTCCAGGACATGTCCTCTATTTCCACCTTTTGTCCAGGAGGAATGCCAAAATGTCCCCCATTTTGAGAATGACTAATAAATATAAATGTACATTTATGAGAGTTTATAGCTTTTATATGGGTTTGTGTCCTCCC